TGGAGGATGCAGTCTAGGAAGACCGCGTCCTTGGAGGATCCAGTCTAGGTAGACCGCGTCCTTGGAGGATCCAGTCTATGTAGACCGCGTCCTTGGAGGATGCAGTCTAGGTAGACCGCGTCCTTGGAGGATCCAGTCTATGTAGACCGCGTCCTTGGAGGATGCAGTCTAGGTAGACCGCGTCCTTGGAGGATCCAGTCTATGTAGACCGCGTCCTTGGAGGATGCAGTCTAGGAAGACCGCGTCATTGGAGGATGCAGTCTAGGAAGACCGCGTCATTGGAGGATCCAGTCTAGGTAGACCGCGTCCTTGGAGGATGCAGTCTAGGTAGACCGCGTCCTTGGAGGATGCAGTCTAGGAAGACCGCGTCCTTGGAGGATGCAGTCTAGGTACACCGCGACCTTGGAGGATCCAGTCTAGGTAGACCGCGTCCTTGGAGGATGCAGTCTAGGTACACCGCGACCTTGGAGGATCCAGTCTAGGTAGACCGCGTCCTTGGAGGATGCAGTCTAGGTACACCGCGACCTTGGAGGATGCAGTCTAGGTAGACCGCGTCCTTGGAGGATGCAGTCTAGGAAGACCGCGTCATTGGAGGATGCAGTCTAGGTACACCGCGACCTTGGAGGATCCAGTCTAGGTAGACCGCGTCCTTGGAGGATGCAGTCTAGGTAGACCGCGTCCTTGGAGGATGCAGTCTAGGTAGACCACGTCCTTGGAGGATGCAGTCTAGGTAGACCACGTCCTTGGAGGATGCAGTCTAGGTAGACCACGTCCTTGGAGGATGCAGTCTAGGTAGACCGCGTCCTTGGAGGATCCAGTCTAGGTAGACCGCGTCCTTGGAGGTTCCAGTCTAGGTAGACCGCGTCCTTGGAGGATCCAGTCTAGGTAGACCGCGTCCTTGGAGGATCCAGTCTATGTAGACCGCGTCCTTGGAGGATCCAGTCTAGGTAGACCGTGTCCTTGGAGGATCCAGTCTATGTAGACCGCGTCCTTGGAGGATGCAGTCTAGGAAGACCGCGTCCTTGGAGGATCCAGTCTAGGTAGACCGCGTCCTTGGAGGATCCAGTCTATGTAGACCGCGTCCTTGGAGGATGCAGTCTAGGTAGACCGCGTCCTTGGAGGATCCAGTCTATGTAGACCGCGTCCTTGGAGGATGCAGTCTAGGTAGACCGCGTCCTTGGAGGATCCAGTCTATGTAGACCGCGTCCTTGGAGGATGCAGTCTAGGAAGACCGCGTCATTGGAGGATGCAGTCTAGGAAGACCGCGTCATTGGAGGATCCAGTCTAGGTAGACCGCGTCCTTGGAGGATGCAGTCTAGGTAGACCGCGTCCTTGGAGGATGCAGTCTAGGAAGACCGCGTCCTTGGAGGATGCAGTCTAGGTACACCGCGACCTTGGAGGATCCAGTCTAGGTAGACCGCGTCATTGGAGGATGCAGTCTAGGTACACCGCGACCTTGGAGGATCCAGTCTAGGTAGACCGCGTCCTTGGAGGATGCAGTCTAGGTAGACCGCGTCCTTGGAGGATGCAGTCTAGGTAGACCACGTCCTTGGAGGATGCAGTCTAGGTAGACCGCGTCCTTGGAGGATCCAGTCTAGGTAGACCGCGTCCTTGGAGGTTCCAGTCTAGGTAGACCGCGTCCTTGGAGGATCCAGTCTAGGTAGACCGCGTCCTTGGAGGATCCAGTCTATGTAGACCGCGTCCTTGGAGGATCCAGTCTAGGTAGACCGTGTCCTTGGAGGATCCAGTCTATGTAGACCGCGTCCTTGGAGGATGCAGTCTAGGAAGACCGCGTCCTTGGAGGATCCAGTCTAGGTAGACCGCGTCCTTGGAGGATCCAGTCTATGTAGACCGCGTCCTTGGAGGATGCAGTCTAGGTAGACCGCGTCCTTGGAGGATCCAGTCTATGTAGACCGCGTCCTTGGAGGATGCAGTCTAGGTAGACCGCGTCCTTGGAGGATCCAGTCTATGTAGACCGCGTCCTTGGAGGATGCAGTCTAGGAAGACCGCGTCATTGGAGGATGCAGTCTAGGAAGACCGCGTCATTGGAGGATCCAGTCTAGGTAGACCGCGTCCTTGGAGGATGCAGTCTAGGTAGACCGCGTCCTTGGAGGATGCAGTCTAGGAAGACCGCGTCCTTGGAGGATGCAGTCTAGGTACACCGCGACCTTGGAGGATCCAGTCTAGGTAGACCGCGTCCTTGGAGGATGCAGTCTAGGTACACCGCGACCTTGGAGGATCCAGTCTAGGTAGACCGCGTCCTTGGAGGATGCAGTCTAGGTACACCGCGACCTTGGAGGATGCAGTCTAGGTAGACCGCGTCCTTGGAGGATGCAGTCTAGGAAGACCGCGTCATTGGAGGATGCAGTCTAGGTACACCGCGACCTTGGAGGATCCAGTCTAGGTAGACCGCGTCCTTGGAGGATGCAGTCTAGGTAGACCGCGTCCTTGGAGGATGCAGTCTAGGTAGACCACGTCCTTGGAGGATGCAGTCTAGGTAGACCACGTCCTTGGAGGATGCAGTCTAGGTAGACCACGTCCTTGGAGGATGCAGTCTAGGTAGACCGCAACCTTGGAGGATCCAGTCTATGTAGACCGCGTCCTTGGAGGATGCAGTCTAGGAAGACCGCGTCATTGGAGGATGCAGTCTAGGAAGACCGCGTCATTGGAGGATGCAGTCTAGGTAGACCGCGACCTTGGAGGATGCAGTCTAGGTAGACCACGTCCTTGGAGGATCCAGTCTAGGTAGACCGCGTCATTGGAGGATGCAGTCTAGGAAGACCGCGTCATTGGAGGATGCAGTCTAGGAAGACCGCGACCTTGGAGGATCCAGTCTAGGTAGACCGCGTCCTTGGAGGATGCAGTCTAGGTAGACCGCGTCCTTGGAGGATGCAGTCTAGGTAGACCGCGTCATTGGAGGATGCAGTCTAGGAAGACCGCGTCATTGGAGGATGCAGTCTAGGTAGACCGCGACCTTGGAGGATGCAGTCTAGGTAGACCACGTCCTTGGAGGATGCAGTCTAGGTAGACCGCGTCCTTGGAGGATGCAGTCTAGGTAGACCACATCCTTGGAGGATCCAGTCTAGGTAGACCGCGTCCTTGGAGGATCCAGTCTAGGTAGACCACGTCCTTGGAGGAACCAGTCTAGGTAGACCGCGTCCTTGGAGGATCCAGTCTAGGTAGACCACGTCCTTGGAGGATGCAGTCTAGGTAGACCGCGTCCTTGGAGGATGCAGTCTAGGTAGACCGCGTCCTTGGAGGATGCAGTCTAGGTAGACCGCGTCCTTGGAGGATGCAGTCTAGGTAGACCGCGTCCTTGGAGGATCCAGTCTAGGTAGACCACGTCCTTGGAGGATCCAGTCTAGGTAGACCGCGTCCTTGGAGGATGCAGTCTAGGTAGACCACGTCCTTGGAGGATGCAGTCTAGGTAGACCGCGTCCTTGGAGGATCCAGTCTATGTAGACCGCGTCCTTGGAGGATGCAGTCTAGGAAGACCGCGTCATTGGAGGATGCAGTCTAGGAAGACCGCGTCATTGGAGGATGCAGTCTAGGTACACCGCGACCTTGGAGGATCCAGTCTAGGTAGACCACGTCCTTGGAGGATGCAGTCTAGGTAGACCGCGTCCTTGGAGGATGCAGTCTAGGTAGACCGCGTCCTTGGAGGATGCAGTCTAGGAAGACCGCGTCATTGGAGGATGCAGTCTAGGTAGACCGCGACCTTGGAGGATGCAGTCTAGGTAGACCACGTCCTTGGAGGATCCAGTCTAGGTAGACCGCGTCATTGGAGGATGCAGTCTAGGAAGACCGCGTCATTGGAGGATGCAGTCTAGGAAGACCGCGACCTTGGAGGATCCAGTCTAGGTAGACCACGTCCTTGGAGGATGCAGTCTAGGTAGACCGCGTCCTTGGAGGATGCAGTCTAGGTAGACCGCGTCCTTGGAGGATGCAGTCTAGGTAGACCGCGTCCTTGGAGGATGCAGTCTAGGTAGACCGCGTCCTTGGAGGATGCAGTCTAGGTAGACCGCGTCCTTGGAGGATGCAGTCTAGGTAGACCGCGTCCTTGGAGGATGCAGTCTAGGTAGACCGCGTCCTTGGAGGATGCAGCCCAGGTTTTCGAACTGAGCCATAATCCCAGCAGTGACCTCATCCAGCAGAGCTTCATGCTGGAATTAAAGGCAGCCAACAGGAAGTGGAGCATAGACTGCATTTCAATAGTTTATCACTAAACAACATCTGGAAACATCAGTATAAATGCCATAATAGTGTTTTCAGTATTTTAGTGATGTACATCAACAGACCTACAAAAACCTAATCCTAGGAGAATAACCTTTTTCTAGGGAGCATGCTTGTAGCGAAAGTGGAGAGGAAAAACTCCCTTTGAACAGGAAGAAACCTCCAGCAGAACCAGGCTCAGTGTGAGCGGCCATCTGCTGAGGCCCACTGGGGTTCAAGGAGACAGAAGCAGACATAGAAAAAGAAGCATAGATACAAAAGGCAACTGTAAAAGGTCCAGGCAGATTTAAAAAGGAAAGTTTTAAGCCTAGCCTTAAAAGTAGACAGGGTGTCTGCCTCACGGACTAAAACTGGTAGTTGGTTCCACAGGAGAGGAGCCTGATAACTAAAAGATCTGCCTCCCATTCTACTTTTAGAAATTCTAGGAACCACTAGTAAACCTGCAGATTGAGAGCGAAGTGCTCTGTTAGGAACATAAGGAACAATCAGATCTCTGATATCAGATGGAGCTTGGCCATTTAAGGCTTTATATGTGAGAAGGAGGATTTTAAATTCTATTCTGGATTTAACAGGAAGCCAATGAACGAATAACCTTCAGGATTCCTTCAACAGAGTTCTCCTCCCATAAAAGAAGGTTCAGTGGAGAACCAGATTGGTTACAGGATGGATTTACTGTGGGAACATCTACAGCTGAACACCTTGATGAACTGCTGACCTGAATACTGACCTGAGACCTCCAGTCTGACCTCCACTGTGGCGTCCCTGACGGGTTCAATGCATCTGTATGTCCCATGATGCTGCTGGGTTAGATTCTTCAACCAGATGGAGAAGTTTCCTTCTTTGTTCCACTCTTCCCTGCTGGACACTCGACCTTTGAACCTCTCATGTTGGTCAGCGGGTTCAGTGGGTTTTCTATTGATGATGTTGAACACAACATCATCATCGATTCTCCAGTAGACGTTTGGTGGAGCCGGATCCTTAAAGCTGCAGGGCAGGAGGACGTTTCCACCAACTTCTCCAGTAACATCCAGTCCTCTGGTCACTGAGAGAAACAATGAAGAACCATCAGAGAAGATCATCATCCTGATCTAGATCTACATTTATAGATTCATGCATCAAGCCCTGAGAACCTGTGGAGGTTCTACAGGTTCTGCTGTGAGGAACCGGCCCAGATGGAGACCTACCTGACTCTGAGAGGGAGAGCAGAACCATCCACAGCAGAGTTCTGGAAGAAAAACACAACAATTATCCTGAAGGTTCTGGTCCAGAGGAACCACCAGGAACCCATTCTAGGAGAACCTGGACCTGATGAGTTCTGGAAGATCAGGAACCAGATCTGGATCCTCTGATCCATGACGACATGCTAACAGCTAACAGCTAAGGAAGCAGAGAAGCTCCAGAACCCAGTTAGAGTCTCTCTTTGAATTCATGGCTTTGAATTCTGTTGCTTAGCAACCGTGACAGTTGACACACAAAGCAAGAAAATAATGAATATCGAAGTTTTCAAAACTGCTTGTTTATTTATTTATTATTATAAAGTGAACAAAGACTGATGAGAATCCAGAGTGTAATAAAGGTTCCAACCACCGGGAGCAGGAATATATGTCAGGATTAATGTACATCAGTGGGCAGTTCCATTAGTATTTCACTCAGGTGTTTGTAAGATTCGATACATTCAAGAGATTGATGATCTCAAGACTCTGTTTATGAATAAAGAATTTTGCTAAACATAAAATTAGGTTAGAACAGAGTTCTATTGTTGTGTCTTTCAGTAGTTTTCCAATAACGACCATATCTCTAGAGATAGAGTTAGGGAGAGCAATTTCTGATGTGATCCATCTTTCTAAGCAATTCCTAAATGTTTTAGTCTGACTGCATTCATAGAAGACATGGTCTATAGTTTCTACATCACTTTCACAGAATGAGCATTTATTGGCATCAATATTAAACCAATTCTTAGTTCTTTAGAGGGGTAGATGGCATTTAAAATTTGTAGTTTCTTTAGCTTTTGGTTGTATGGGAAGTTAAAAAAAAAAGGTTTTCAGTTGATTTTTTTTCAAATTTGCAAAGAATGTTATTTTTATTTATTTTCCCAGGGAACAAAGATTCATTTAGACAGTTTCTAATTGTGTGGTTATTGAATTTTTGATCAGTGATTGATATTCCATTAATAGATGAATCGGGTATTCGGGTTTTTTTTATATTTAGCGTAGGTCCTGAAGCTTCTGAAAAAAGTTTAATTTTATCAATTACAATTGGAACTTTTAAGAAAACGGTGGTGCCATGTGCTAACTGGCTAACGATTAATTTTGTACCGAAAACATCTCATTTCTCAATGTCTGCACAATTTTTAAGATAGATGCTAACATTTCGGTTCTACTGGTTCTACTGGGTTAGCACTGGTTAGCCCTGGTTAGCAGGAGGCTAAAGCCGCTAGCTAACATTATCTTCAGTTAGCTTCATCTTTAGCTTCAGAAAGTGAACCAGAAGAACAAACCTTATGATCTGAAGCATCTCGGCCTCCTGGAGTCTGAACAAAATTTAAAAATGCCCAAAAAAGGACTTTAAACCTAGAATCAGGAAATGCGACACAATGCTTACCGCACCCTGGTTAGCTAATGGCGGCGCACCGGAAGGGACGTCACAGCGAACGAGCTGATTAAAAGCTTCAGAGGTTTTAAACTCACATTTAATAACGATGAAGGTCTAAATCCTCACATCCAGCAAATATAATAAAAATCGCAGCATTTTAAAGATTTTTTTTTGTTGTTTCCGCTCTAGGGGCGCTGTTCCCAGCTCCTCACCAATGAAAGTCGCTTCTTCAATGTTTTAAACTTTATTAGTTTTTAGCTTGTAGACAAAAAAACAAAACAGACAAAATACAACAAAAGACGAATCTGCAAAGACCGCATTAAAAAAATACATTAAAATAAAATAATTAATGATTAAAGAGGAATGTTAAATTAATAAACCAAAGAGATTAAACTATTGTTAGGCTATAAACTATCCTAAATGGGATTTTTACCTTTTCCTGAGTGGAAACTTTAATAGAACGTAAATATTGTTTGAGTTTAAACCATGTAGGAACTTCCACAGCAATGCCCTTTGCATCGTGTTTTTTAAAAATTGAATTGAGGTTTATTGGACTAACAGAAAATGTGCAATATGCATTAAAACAAAACATGACAGGTGCAGGAATACGGCCACCTTAGCAAAACAGAGACGTTGATATTTAGTAGATCCTCCTTTAGCAGAAGCAACAGCCTCTAGTGGCTTCCTGCAGCGTGGAATGAGTTCCTGGATCCTGGATGAAGGGATTTCTGACCGTTCTTCCAGTTCAGTCTGATGGTGGCCGAGCACGGACAGCCTGCTTCACATCATCCCACAGATGTTCAATCATCTTCAGGTCTGGAGATGGGACGGCTGTTCCAGAACACTCTGCATGAACGCCTGAGTAGATGTGGATCATTGTCTTGCTCAAATCTCCATCACCGCCGTAACTTCAACTTTCTAACTGGTTCTTGAACATTATTCTCAAGAATCTGCTGATATTGAGTGGAATCCAACTTTAACAAGATTCCCAGTGCCAGCATTGGAAACCAGCCCCAAAGCATGATGGAACCTCCACCATACTTTACAGTGGATAGCAAAGGTTTTTCTACTTTTTTGAACAATCTTTGTTTTCAGATCCTTTGAACATTACTGTGTCCATCAGTTATTAGATATATCTAATTAAAATAGCTGCTGCAAACACCCATATTTGTAAACAAGCCTTATTAAAATTAATTATATATATATATACGTATATAAACTCTTCCTCACCCATCGTGGGCGGTCTCCCCCTGGGAGCCCTGGGAGCCTGAGGGTTCTGCCAGTATCTTTGCTGTTCCTAGAACTGCTCTCTTCTGGACCGAGATGTCTGATGTATTTCCAGGGATCTGCTGTAACCCCTCCTCCAGTTTGGGGGCCACTGCCCCGAGGGCCCCCATGACCATGGGTTCCACTGATGCCTTGACCTTCCAGGTTTTCTCCAGCTCTTCTCTGAGCTCCTGGTGTTTCTCTAGTTTTTTCATGTTCTTTTTTCCTGCAGTTGCAGTCGCTTGGTATCGCTATGGCAACCACCATGGCTTTCCTCTGCTTTTTGTCCACCACCACAATGTCCGGTTTGTTTGCTATTACCATTCGGTCCGTCTGGATCTGGAAGTCCCACAGGATCTTGGGTCGGTCATTTTCTACCACCCTTGGAGGTGTTTCCCACTGGTACCTTGGGGTTTCCAGCTCATACTCTGCACAGATGTTCCTGTATTCTATTCCAGCCCCTTGGTCATGGTGCTCCATGTTAGCTTTCCCTGCCAGCATCTTCCACCCTGCAGTTCTGTGCTGGATCGTCTCAGGGGCCTCTTTGCACAGTCTGCACCTGGGGTCTTGTCTGGTGTGGTAGATCTGGGCCTCTCTATTGCTCTGGTGCTCAGGGTCTGCTCCTGTGCAGCCATGATGGTTCCTCTGTGCTGTCCTTCAGTCTGGCCTCGAGCCATTGGTAGGATTTCCTGATATCTGCCACTTAGATTATGTTCCGGTGGTTCATCCCATGTAGGGGCTGATCCTCCCATGATGGAGTCTCTGGCCCCTCATCTTCTGTTCTCCATTGTCTGAGACAGTCACTGAGGAGGTCGTCTGTTGGAGCCTTGTCCTTGATGTACTTATGGATCTTGGATGTATCATCGTGGATAGTGGCTCTTACGCTCATTAGTCCTCGGCCTCCTTCCTTACGGCTGGTCTACAATCTCAGGGTACTGGATTTGGGTTGGTACCCTCCATGCCTGGTTAGTGTCAGGGGCAGTCCTGATTAGATTGATGTCACTTTTATTACCTTGTCTTTTCACTTCCTGTTTTATTTTGGTACTCATTTCCTCTCTCGTTTTAGGCAGCTTCACTTCCTGAGTTCCTTCCTGCAATCAGGATCTGCCACAACCTAATGCAATTCACCTGGTGTATGTGCTCCTCTTTTGTTTGTTAGAGTATTTAGTTCCCACCCTTGCAGATTCCCTTTGCCAGTTCGTCTTAGTCTTTTGAGCTTAGCGTTCCAGCCTTTTTGCCTGTTAGATTTAGCTTTCTTGTGTTTTGACCCCTGCTTGGATTTGGACCTGCTTTGCCTCTGCTTTTTGATACTTCTGTTTCTGCTGGATTTTTTGTTGTTCAACCCTGGACTGAATTAAAAGAACTTTGAGTTTTAATCACTGTGTCAGGTCTTGCATTTGAGTCCTTCATTTCTGAGCCTTGTGACAGTACGAACTGGCCAAGAAATGGACTCAGCAGACTCTGATTCAGTGCTAAAAGCCCTGGGTGCCCAGGGGAGACGCATCAACCTACAGGAGGAGCAACTGGCTCACTTACAGCAAGGGATTCAGAAGCTAAGTGAGCAACAAGACCGGTTCATGACCTCAGTTGCTGATCAGCTCAGTTTCCTGGTGGATAAGGTTCAGAGGTCTCAGCGTTTTGACCAGCCCCCCACCATAAAGGATCCAGCACCATCTCAGGTTCAGGAAGGGGTTTTTGCCCAGCCTTTTTCACCTTTAGTACCTTCCGCTCATCTTGCCCGCCCGGAGAGGTTTTCTGGTGACTCTGGTGAGTGTCGTGCATTTTTAACACAATGTGGCCTACATTTTGAGCTGCTCCCCCACTCCTACCCAACGGACAGATCCAAGATTGCCTTTATTATCAGCCACCTTTCTGGCAGAGCAGAGGCATGGGCTACCAGTGAGTGGGAGAGAGATTCAGCCATTTGTGGGTCACTAGACCTTTTCACCAAGAGTTTCACCCAGATTTTTCACCACACTAGACCCGGACGGGAAGCGGCCAGGGCTTTGAACCGGCTGCAGCAGAACAAGAGACGTGTCTCAGACTATGCTATTGAGTTCCACACCTTGGCAGCTGGCAGTGATTGGAATCCTGCAG